CTCTCTCTCTCTCTCTCTCTCTCTCTCTCTCTCTCTCTCTCTCTCTCTGTGTGTGTGTGAACGACCTGGATTTTCTCAATTAATATTATGTGGATTTATCAAAGTTTTTCTATAAAATATGGAATTCTAAACTTTAAAAAACATTTTACATCCCAAGATATTATCGGGTTTACAGTATATCATAACCACAATTTAAAGCAACAAGGAAATACCAAAAATAAAATCTACTTCTAGTTGAAGTCCTTGGTGCTTGTATCTCCCCTCGTACAACGGCTACTACTTGAACTTGGAATACATTAAAATCTACAACATCAGACCAAAGGTCTAGTGAGTTATATCATACTTTGTTTTCATGTCATCATACTCTACTTCTATTTTTTCTTTCTATTCATACTCTAACATTAGGTTCTATTCTTCGTGTACAATCTATGGAACCTCATAAAAAAGATGAAGAAGAATATGAAGACCAAATTAAAAATGTTGTTGTTGGACTTCAAGCCTCCACGGAACATCCAACAAAGGTTCTCTCAAAACACTAGTACAAAAATGACCTACGGTCACACTTTTCAAAAAACGGCCTGTCACACTTTTTATTAAAAGTGTTGCCAAACGTCACTAAAAAAATTTAGAGATTGTTTTTGGATACATTTTAATTAGTTTGTGTGGCTGTTTTATAGATAATCAAAACTTTAACCACATTTAATTATACCAAATGTGACAATTATTAGCCACACTCGAACACTGTGGTCATATGTCACCATCAACCATGATTACAGATTAACCATATGATACTTTTTTTACATGAGACAATAGATAAATATATGGTGACATGAAACAATTGTATATGTTTTTGTATCATGGTGTCTTTTTAGACACATGAAATCCAGTGTAGCTAACAGGTGATATATATGGCCACATTGAATATTGTGTGTCCATAGAGTGGTTAGCGCTTCTTCGTTGCTTGGTCGGGACACATCGATGATTTAGTAAAGGCAAGAAACCAAGTAGTTTTAGTGGCTTATGGTCATGTGTATTTTATTATGTGTGTCATAATATGATGAATTGACTTTGAAAAACAAATATTGTTCAAGTGTAAATTTCATTTGGTTATGGTTACACATATTATGTGTGTCTATAAGTAAATCTAGTTATAGAAGAAATATAATGCCTGATCGGTATAATTATAGTATGGTCATTGAATGTGTGACTATAATTATGTAATGATCATTTTTTTTGTACTAGTGTATGTAGTGTATGTCTAAATTTTAAGAATAGTCTTAATAAAACAAAAATATGTTGTTGTAAGTATTTACTGGTGACTTATCATTAATGAATTATGATGGCAAAATGAAAAGATGACACGAAAAAAAAATCAAAGTCCCTATTTACGAACTCATAAACAAAAACATAATTCAAATTGCTAAAATTAACATGTCCCAACAAAAATTCAAGACCTATAGCAGAAAGCCAACATGAAAAAAATTAAATTACAGCTCTAATCGGAATATGAAACCCTAATGATTGCTTTGGAGTCACAAAAACATAAATATTAAGGGGCTATTTGATAGTTGTTGACTGAGTAAGATCTAAGTGAGTTAGATCCTGACTAGGTAAGAAGATCTGACTGCAATGCCTCTGACTGAAACCATGTTGTTTGATTACACATCCGACTGAGTGTAATGAATACTAAAAATGACCATTTTACCCCTCTATTTTGTTTTGTGTTGAATAAAAATTGGCTTGAGAAAAAAAGTAATAAACTATCTTATATTGTACAAATAATGTAAATAAAAATAGAATTTTATAACAAACAAATAAAAGTAGAATGTTATAACAAACAAAAAATTACAATGTTGTAATTAAAATAAATACAAGCACACTGTTGTAATAAGAATAAATAAAATCATCAAAAGTAGAATTCAAGTGCTAGCTAGACAACAGCATATCACATGCTCTACTACCATGGAGACAAACACAAAAGTACCATAAATGAAAGAACCCACTACAAGTATAGTCAATGTAGTAGCAGAGAACACTCAAACTACATCACTTCAACATGCTCCCACTATTGCAACATATGCTACAACTTACCTACTTCATCACTGTTTCTTGATTGCAATTTCCATTCAAAGCTCATTACCATTACAGTTTCTTGTCCTTATGGAATTCAGTTTGATATGGAATTTTGATTACTTCAATAAATCAAGATTTGTTACCTTCACATTGATTTTTATGACAACAATTCGATCTGGAATTTTGGAGATGATGAATCTCTTTCAACTACTGATGCATTTGAGAAAGATCATTTCGGATCAATCGACTGGGACGTTAAACCCCAATTTATCTTTTGGAGAATGGGTTTGTTTCCAAGCGAAATTAACATTGAGAACTAACTGTTTGGGGACATTGGGTTCGTCCATTGATGATGAATTTGTTGTTCAATCCAAGTTATGGCTGCCTCTAATGCCTCAAACAATCATAGATAGATCAGACATCTTCATACAGGTTATCATGTTGTGACGCCTATGAAAAATCGGCATACAGGTTATCTTGTTGCGAAGCCTATGAAATCGATTTGGAAATCGATTATGAATCAAAAATCGTTTTACTGAACGCTTCATCAAAATCAATCAAGAAAAGAAAAGAACTAACGATGAAGGAGGGCAATGCTGGAGGAGGACGGTGACAACGACAATGTTGGAGATGGAGGCCGACGTTTTAGGATTGCGTTCGTTCATCAGCAACACGAAAGAGATGTGTGAAGGAGCGGGCGTATTTTGGAATTCGGGCAAATAAAGGATTTTTTTCTCAGTCAGCATCTTTTTTCTGATGACCGAATTAGATGTCTTTGGATCGAGTAAGAGCCATTAAATGTTAGTATCAAACGGTCTTATTGGACCGAATCAGATTTTCACCTGTTACTTACCGGATCCGGTAAGAGGCTTATTAAACAAGCTCAAATAATGATTAAATGCCAGCAACACAAACAAAACCCAAATTATATTCGATTATAAGCTATTTGAATCTAAAAAATTGTAAATTACTTGAATTCGCACCTGAGTTGGAGGTTGTGGAGTCAGAGACAATGTGATCTATGGAATTTGATTTCTTAGTTTATGTTTTTCAGTGGAGAGAATGACCAGGGCATATTAGGAAGACTTGATTTTTGACCAAGTTTGTTCTGGTCCTTCAATGTTTAATAGTGAATTGTTGTGATTCAGGCAAGGTCGATGTCCAACATTAGACAGAAAACAAAATAGGAATCAATTTAGAGCATGTTTTGGCGGAAAAAAGAAGAAGAGTGAAATGAAAAAAAAAACATATGAGAGGAAACTTTAATTTTTTGTGAAACTTTGTAATTTAAATATATTAAGGAATTTAATTAGAAAAAAAATGTTCATTGAAATTGATTATACTATATAGACAAAATTATATGATTTTTTAGGGGATTCATGGGTATATTGATAATTAATAGAATATGTTGTCCGTGTTCCTGATTTTAAGGGATTACATGTGTAATTCTTGAATTTACACTAATGTTTGGCCATTCGGTAGTTGCCATCCGACTTAGCTATTTAGATGGTGGGTATGGGTGAAGGTATGTATTTGTGGGGATGTAAGTGGGTGTGTAGGGGTGAGGTGTGGGTATGAGATGAGTAAGGGTGTGGTGGTGGATATAAGCCTCAACACTCACCCACCCCACTCATACTCCCACACCCATTACACCTAACTAAGAATTGATGGTATGATGTAGGTGGGTCTAAAAGTATGGGGGTGGTCGGAGTGGGGTGGAGGTGTGCGGATAGGTGTAATTTTTAATTTTAGAGAACTTTAGAATCATAAAAGTATGGATGGTTGTGGGTGAGTGTTGGGGATAGGTTGGGGGTTGGGGTGGGGTTTGTGGCTTAGGTCATATAAATTAGGCTTAAGGCTTGTCTTTTAGGGGTTAGGGTGTATGGATTATGGCACGTGGATTAATGCTGATGGTTTGTGGCATATGGCTTAGGGATTATTACTTTAGGCGTATGGATTATAACTTACTGTTTATGGTAGTATGGCTTATGGAGTATTGCTTATAGATGAATACTTATGGTTTAGAGCTTAGGGTGTATGACTTAGGGATCAGGGTGTAGGAATTAGGACTTAGGGCTTTTGGCTTATGGTTTATGGTTTAAGGATTCCTATTTATTTGTTAAGGCACATTGCTTAAGGCATAAGGTGTAAGGCTTATGCTTATGGCTTACAAATTAAATATTATGATGTATTGTTTAGTGCTTATGGCTTGGCGATTATTTATACACTATGACTTATGATGTATGGATTTGGGCTTAAGGCTTGTAAATTGTGGCTTGGGGCTTATGACTCATGGCCTAATACTTATGTATTAATGGTTAAGGCGTGGTGCCTAGGTTTATATGGCTTAGGACTTGAGGCTTAAAACATATATCTTAGGTTTTAAGGCTAATGGCATAAGATTTGGACTTTATTATGGCTTAAGAGTTAGGTCTTAGGTTTATGGTGTGACAACCCAAAATTTCTATCTTATAAATTCAATCAAATCAATCAAAAGTCAGACTTGTTTCTGTTACCTTTTAGCCCTGTTAAAGGTCTGTTTGAGAGTTTCTAAGCCTAGTGCACTGTATGAATGGATGTTAGGATGAGTTAGCTTGAGATCGGAGGAATGAATTCGAACCAGAAAACCACTCAACAAGTGTTCACGGCCGCAAACTAGGTTTACGGTCGTGAACCACCTCCTATATATATAAGAGATGATCATTTTCTTCTCATTTCTCCATCCCCAAGCCGTGAACTCCCCATTCTCTCTCAACTATCTTCGACCCTGAACACTTCTAAGGCCCCAAAAACGTAAGTGTTTCATCTCTAATCTTGTTATACTTGAAAGACTACTTAATCCTAGCCTTGATTCATCATGTTTCATCATCATCTTCATGATCTTGAAGAGTTCACGGCCGTGAACCCTTCATGAGGGTCGTGAACACCTCATGAGGCCGTGAACCTCATGAGGCCGTGAACCCATTAGGACCGTAAACCCTCCCTTGGGTGGCCGTGAACCTCCCTCAACCATCCATTTGTGGGTTTAACACTTCAGTTAGGGTGTTTCCTACAACCTTAGGTAGTTTCCAATACTAGTTAGTAGTTATAAACACTAATTGTATACACATATATGTGATTATATGCCTTATAGGATTCATTTGTGCTTCGGGACTTCAATTGTGAACTCAAGCATCCTATATCTATCTTTCTTTCCAGATCACTCACTATCAGGTGAGTTCATACCCCTACAATCAACCTTTTAACTGTTTTAAATGCTTTTTAGGGGGGGGGGGAATACAAGCTGAAAACAATTGAAATTGTGTTAGTATAAAAATTTATATATTTGCAAATATCAAGACTTACAACTTTCCAACATTGTTAAACATCTTGTTCCAAACCGTTTTCAACACGTTATCAAACTACTTTTAACACATTGTTAGACTTCATTTTAAAACCCTTTTTAAACTGCTTTTACATTCTTTTCAACTCTTTTACTTTTAAAACCATATTCATGTATATATTAGTGTATAAGCATACTTTAATGGACTTAGGACTATTGTTAATAACCTTGACTCCTGTTCCTTGTTTGGTTGTGGGCTTAGGGTAGGATTCACTAGTCCGACTGTCAATTAACTTATGATTATACATGTTAAATGCATACATGAATATTAAATCTTATTTTCAAGTGATACCTAACTCGATTGTACACGCTGAGCAATTGAGTCCTTTCTACCAGTCAGTTACAAAACAAACATACTAGTAAACTATAATAGGTATAGTTTAGAGAACACTATTTGATATACATATACATTTACAAGTACAGAAAGGAACACTATTTCACATACATATACATCTACAAGTACAGAAATGAACACTATACATATACAAACATATTTACAAGAAACAGAAGGAACATACACACTATAAATGCACATGATAATTAGAATGTGAGATACTACTTAATGGCACAACAACGCATAGTTGCACCATGTTTTGTAACCAGAGTCTCCTGGAGGGAGAGCGTGAGTTCGTGTATAGATCTATACGAGATTGACCATCCCACACCTCGCTGCTAGCTACAGTGGGACCTGCAGATCCACGGGTGAACAAACGTCATACATTTTCGATTTCTACAATACGTCGTGTCTTATACTAGGTCGATCAAGCATGGTTATAACCACATCACATTTTAACCCTAAATAAACCAACTAGGTTTTCAAGAATAAGACTATTAGTAGTGTATGATACATTCAATATGACTACTTGCCTTCATTTTTCCATTTCATTATACAGTAATGCTATCACAGGATTAATGCGTACTACTTTCTAGTAAAAGATAGCTAGCATATGCAAAAACATATTTTTATACAATTATGAAGTACAAACATACTTTTTATACTATTTCAAGTACAAATTCAGACATTACATTTTTACATGAGAAAACACACAACAGACGGGTCTCGGGTAGGAGACTGCATTTCATTTAAAAGGAGAAAATATAGGATTTTCTGAGAAAGATACAAGCCATTTTACTATACAAACATAAACATTTTACAACACAAGTACAAGCAAACGACACGAAATACTTATGAACTTACCAACATTTTATGCTGATGCTCTCTTTCAAAATAACTTGTATTCTCAGGGAACCAGTAGACAGGTACACCCATTCAGCTTTTGAGAAGACGGAGTGGATTCAAGACTCGTCATTATTTTGATTATACATTTTTGGTGTCATATAAACTTTACTAAAGAACACATATGTATTTAACTATTCTATTAATGCAATGAATGTTGTTACTTGTTTTACTATTATGTTGTGTTATGATACTGTACATGACGTCCTCCATCCCCGAATGTTTCCGCCAATTCGGTTTGGGGGTGTGACATATGGCCTACGCTTACATAGGTGGGAAATTAGAGGAACAATATATACATGGTTGCAATTGTACTTGTAAAACAAATTCAATAATTCATTCTTATAATATTTAATTACTTTAATGATATTTTAAATTATGTTTAGATAATTAATTATTCAATCACAACATCAATTATATATAAATAATAACAATATTTAAAAAAATATAACTCCAATAAGAGGTTTTTATAAAAAAAAAAGTTATAAACTTATATCACTAGATTAGCTTTGGCGCTCCTAATTATTAAAAATTAGAATTTAGCCCGCCCCGAATTTGGTCTTGCTGTTTCTCCCGCCCCCAAATTGAATCGCAAAAAAAAACCCTAAATCGCCTACTTTTCAAAATAACGCTCATCTCTTTCGCCCTAACGCCTTCTTCATCTGCTGTAAATCGTGGATTGGAAAATATGACTCACAGTCCAATCAAATTTCCCCTTCTGATCCATTGCATCTTCATCTACCGAATCATCCTGGAACGGTTGTTCTTTCCAAACTATAAATCGAGTTAGCGATAAACAAAACCAACTTCCCGGCTTTTTTTTCAGTG